CCGGGAACCACACATTGGGAGCTGAATGTGCGGGTTGTGTCCTGCAGCAACAGCAAATCAGGCATGGGCTGGGGGAAGGGCCGGAAAGCCCACAGTGGGACTGTGGCAGTGGAAAGGAAACTTGGAGTCTCTTAACTTTTTTTTCTTATCTTATAATAAGTTAATGTGAATAGTGCCATGCATGTACGGCAAAGGTACACACTTTCCACTGTATTTTTATATTGAATACGTGACAATAAATGATTCAATTCAATTAGTAGATTCCAAGCTTTTAAAGAGATTGAAATCATGACACATTTATAGATTTTCTTTTATGCATAGATTTTATTAACTCCCTCAGTCTTAACACTCTCATTTCACACCCAGTCTAACAGTTGCTCCTTATATTTTCTAAACAAGCTGTTATTATACTGTTTGGAGCACACATGACCTGAAGCCGGGCCTCCATGTTCAGAGATAGAAACTCAACCACTGCACCACTTGAGTCCCCATTGGCTTCTTGTATATTTGTATACCTTTTTAAAATCAACCTGATCAGGGATGTTGTCACACACCTCTGGAGCAGGTGCGACTTGAATTCAGGCCTCCATGTTCAGAGATTGAGATACTACCCATTTGCTCTCGAGGCAGGTGGAATGTAAACCTGGCTCAGAGGTAGAGATGCAACCACAAGAACCCTACAAAATGTTATTACATGCCTCTGGAATAGATAGGATTGAACATAGACCACCAAGCCAGCTGGAATAACCATGGGAAATGCAGGGTTACAGGGATAAGATAGCATGGGGGGTGCTGGTGGTCTGGACGCGATGCTCATTAGAGGGGCACTGTGGACTCCATGGGCCAAATGGCCTGCTTCCAGTGTAGGGTTCTATGAAAACATGCAGATTAGCGCTTCCTATCTCTAAGCTAAGTCAGAAGCATTGCAAAGCAAATTTAAATTTGCAAATGTTACATTAATTCTCTTGCCAGAAGACTTCCAGTTATCACTTGATCAAATACATTGGCAAGATACTCTGTTCCCCACTCCTATGAACAAAAACTCTAAGGTGACACCCACATTGCAGTTTCAAAAAACATCATCAAACCCAGAGTCAAATTGCAGCTCCACTGATCCCAGGGAATCTAAGTAGGTTCAACTCAGTACAGACATCAAGTACCATTTAATGCAGGAGGGTGGTCTGTTCTGAGACTCTGTGCCTCGGAAGAACCTGCCATAGAGGGACCAATCCCTCTGACGGAGGGAATGTCTCATGAAGACAGAGAGTGAGGTAACAGAATCTGCGTTCTCCAAGAGTTTCCAAGCACAAGAGGTGATCTCATTGAAACTATATTTCTCGTTCCTGTTCCGAATGTCCGCTGCTCCTACAATCCAGTGATGTTGCACTGAGAGGAGGAACATCCTAGAGTCAGCCATGGGTCATGCTCTCACCTCAGAGATTGTGGGGTTCATGTCCTACCCTCGGTAATTGAGCACAGAATCCAGGCCATTTCTTTCACTGCAGGAGCTCTGCACTGTTGGAAGTGCTATCTTTCAAAAGAAAGATTAAACCAAGTCCCCTTCGCTCACTCGCATTCTAAGGACTATAAGCCACCACCAGACACATGTTCCCCAGCCCTCCCTCCAAGTTGTCATGGTCCACTCCTCTTCTCTCAATATCTCCCCACACTCCCACGCACCTTCCCATGCAATCGCAGAAGGTGCAATACTTTCCTATTTATCTCTTGTCTTCACTCTTAGAATAATGTATAAACAAAGCAAGAGTGATGTGTGGAAAATCTTTTACACCCATCAAGTTTTAGGATGTGAAATACACTGCCTGGAAATGTGGTGGAGGCAATTTTAATTCAGGCATTCAAAAGGGTATTGGATGATTATTTGGATAGAAAATAATATGCAGGGAATGCAGAAAAGACAAGGTATCGGCACTCAGTGATAGAACCGGTGTAGACAAAAAGGGCTGCATAGCCTATTTCTGCATCCTAACAATTCTGTGATTCTGTATCCAATCTGGACATACCTTCCACTTGAAGCAGCAATTTACCTACACCACTCAATCTAGTCTACTGTACTTGTTACTCACAATGTGGTCTCCTCTACATTAAGGAGACTAAACACAGACTGGGTGACCACTTTGTGGAACACCTACTTCCTACCTGTACAAACGATCCAGCTGCCTGCAATTTCACATTTTGTTCCCTGGCCAATATTTCCATCTCAGGCCTGCTGCAGTGCTCCAGAGAGGCTCAACACAGGCTGGAAGAATAGTATCTAATCTTCTGCTTAAGAACCCTGCAGCCTTCAGAACTACAGAACCTAAATACCTCCTTCCATATCCTTTACCCACCTCCACACTCCAGGTCTTGCCATGACATGGGCTGCTTTCCGTGCAGCCAGCCCATTTTATCTACTCATGGACACTCTCCTCTCTCCACCCATATTTCTACAGCAATTTCTATTTTTGTTCAATGCCTGGGTATAGGCTACAGATACTTCGGATATCTAGTGTTGTGTCTGCAGAATTGCATCAAAAAAGAAATGCGGGTAATGCTAAACATCGAGGTACAGCATACTTCAAAAACCCTTGGAGGTGAGTGTTCCAATATGGGACAAATTATAGAGGGCTGTGAAGCCTGCCCATTCAGTTCTGGCCTTCCACACCTCAGTAAGAATATGCCCACCTTACAGGGGGAACAACACTGCTTCACCAGAAAGACACTAGAGCTGTGAAGACAGGTTGCATGGATTCTGCTTGTAATCCTTTCTCCACCCTGGAAAGCTGGAGAAGTGCCAGGCAGAATAGGGGCACGAAACAACAGAAAACAAAAAGTCAAAACAAACTACAAAGAATAACAGCTGATCTGAGTCACTGTCAAAGTCTCTCAACGATCACAGTTGCAGTTCTGTAAATCTCTGGTTAGTCCCCATCTGGAATTAACCTGTCCCACTCCTCAGGAGGGAGCAATTGGTGCAGCAGATTCAACAGAACGATCCCAGGGCTGAAAGGTTTGAATTCGGAGCACAGGCCGCATGAATTAGGCTTGTATTCCCTCCAGTATGGAAGATGAAGGAGCAACCGAACTGAGATGTTTAAGAGAATTTGAAGGAAATGTTACAGTTGATGCATAGAAACTGTTTCCTCAGTGGTGAGTGAGGTGGGGAGGGTTGAGGAGTGCCCAGAACACAGGTCCAAATCTCAAGTTTCAAGCAAAGACCATTCACGGATGACACGGGAAGCACTTCCTCAGAATGGGGAGGAAATTAGAACTCTCTCTCTCATTCCTCGCCTGCCATTAAGCTCAAGAATGGGGATGCTGCCTCAACTGAACATTTCAAAACTCAGACTGAAACATTTTTGCTGAGCACAGGGATTAAGGATTACAGCACGAAAGCAAGTAGATGGAGTTCAACTACATCAGCCATGGTGTAATTCTACTGCAGGCCAAACTGGAGCAGTTGAACGGTCTCCTCCCTTCTGATTGTTAATGCCTGCACTCTCACTTTGAACAAAGTGTCATGAGGTGTCAGTGTGTGTGGAACTGTACCCCACGAGTGAGCAAGAAGCATTTCTACACCTTCTCAGTGTCAACCTGCATGATGCAACTATACACGTGGACAGCTGATAAGCAGGTAACTTTTTTTTTCATTCATTCACGGAATGGGGGCATCAGTGGCTAGGCTGTCAGGGTGCCATCCAGAATTGCGCACAGGGCAGACAAGAGTCAACCACAACGCTTTGGATCTGGACACACATGAAGGCCGGACCAGTTAAAGGGTTACCCTCCCTAAAGCATATTAGTGAACCAGATGGGTTTTTCCAACAATCAGCAATGGATCACCATGAGATTTGATTTCAGATTTTATCAAATTACACTGTCTGCCATGGCAGGATTCAAACCCAGATCCCCAGAACATTACCTGGGTCTCTGAATTAACAGTCCAATGATAATTCCACTAAACCATCACCTCCCTATACATTAGGACGGCCAATGAGTGGCAGATGGAGTTTAATCTAGATAAGTGTGAGGTGCTACATTTTGGTAGGCAAAAATCAGGGCAAGACTTATACACATAATGATAAGGTCCTGGGGAGTGTTGCTGAACAGAAGGACACTGGAGTACAGGTTCATAGTTCCTTGAAAGTGGAGTCGCAGGCGGGCAGGATAGTGAAGAACACATTTGGCATTCTTGTCTTTCTTAGTCAAACCATTGAATATAGGAGTTGGGTCATGTTGCGGTTGTGCAGGACATTGGTTAGGCCACTTTTGGAATACTGCTTTCAATTCTGGTCTCCTTGCTACAGGAACTATGTTGTGAAACTTGAAAGGGTTCAGAGAGGATTTACAAGAATATTGCCATGGTTGAAGGGTTTGAGTGACACGGAGAGGCTGAATAGGCTGGGGCTATTTTCCCTGGAGCTCAGGGGGTGACGTTATAGAGGTTTATAAAATCATGAGGACTTGGATAGGGTGAATAGCCAAGGTCTTTGCCCCAGGGTAGGGGAGTCAGAAACTAGAGGGCATAGGTTTAAGGTAAGAGGAGAAAGATATAAAAGGGACCCAAGGGATAACTTTTTCACACAGAGGGTGGTGCGTGTATGGAATGAGTTGCCAGAGGAAGTGGTGGAGGCCGGTACAATTACAACATTTAGAAGGCACCTGAATGGGTATATGAATAAGGAGGGTTTGGAGGGATATGGGCTAAATGCTGGCAAATGGAACTAGATTAATTAGGAAATCTTGTCGGCACAGACAAGTTGGACCGAAGAGAGTTTGTTTCCGTGCTGCACATCTGTTATGACTACGAGTCAGCGCAGTGGCTGCTTTATCCCTTCCATTTGCAGGGAAGGCTGATCAATCCTGATTCCACTGACTGAGGAGCACTAGATAAGCTGCTGGTTAGACCTTTAGCATTTTGAAACAGCCCAGTTCTCCAGCTCCCCTTCCCACCCCACTGCCCATGCAATGTACAGCAGGCTGTCCCTAAGTTCTGAACTCACCTCATTGCCGTGCGACTGAAGGAATTCAATTTCCTGTTCAGTGAAGGTTGTCATGGAGATGGACTTCACTCGGTGAGGTGGATTGAGGCCTCGCCTGCAAACACAGGGGGAAAAGAGGGAGGAAAAGTGTCCTTTGAGGAATGTATTATGTAAGCAGTTCACAAAAGGCAAGGTCATAAAAAGCCATTTCCAAGAGTTCAGAAAATCTCTTCGACTACATTTTATAATCCATGCAATTTCTTGGAATATTTGCAAACCATTTATCAGGCATTGGGATTTATTGCTCCTGTTTACATATCAGCCAGCAGCTTTTACAGTGCTGATGAAGGCCACTCAGCCCACTGTACTGACTGCAGAACTCCAAGTACAGAGGCACTTAGGTGTTCTAGCGCACAAGTTACATGATTAAGGAGGCTGATAGAATACCACCATTTATCACAAGAGAATGTCACGAAAGCGAGGATGTCATGCTTCAATCGCACCGGGTATTGGTGAGATCACATCTCGAATACCATGTGCAGCTTCAATCTCTTTAGCTAGAGGATGTAAATAGATTAGAGGCAGTTCAGAGGAGGTTTACTAGATTGATACCTGGAATGAACGGGTTTTCTTCTGAAGAAAGGTTGGACAGACTGGGTTTGTTTCCACTGGAGTATACAGAGTGAGGGCTAACTTGATTGAAACGCAGAAGGTCATGAATGATCTTGACAAGGTGGACATGGGAAGGTGGTTTCCTCTTGTGGGTCAGTCCAAAACTTGGGGGCACTGTTTTAAAATTAAGGGTCATCATTGTCAGACAGGGAAAAAAAATGCCTCAAAAAAGGTGGTGGATGTGGATTAATTGAATATTTTTAAGGCAGAAGAGGAAAGATTCTTGTTCGACAGGAATTCAAGAGTTAGAATCACAGAATTCCTACTGTGCACAAAGAGGCCATTCGGTCCATCAAGTCTGCACCAACCCTCTAAAGAGCATTACACCCAGACCCACAACCCCCCACCATTTCTCTGTAACCCCACAGCCAATCCACCTAAACTGCATATCTTGGAATGTGGGAGGAAACCAGACCACCCTGTGGAAATTCACGCAGATACAAGGAAAACGTGCAAACTCCACACAAACAGTAACCCAAGGCTGGAATTGAACCAGGCCCTGGCGCTCTGAGGCAGCAGAGCTAACCACTGAGCCATTGTGCCGCCCATTGTTAGTCGCCCTATTTCATGCACTTCTAGTTCTCCTTCACATATCTGTTTGAAGTTAATCAGGTGAAGCCTTTGAAAAAGTGGAATTACAGTTCTGTTCACGGGGATGGGGGTGTGGTGGTGGCAAATGTTGTTTTTACAGACTCAAACATGTCCTGGAGAAAAGCCATATCAGGCTGGAGATGTGACCTCTCCAGATGCTGAGTTTTCCACCATTATTTCAGATTTCCAGCATCTGCACTGGTTTGCTTTTACGCAGCAGGTTTTCTGTGAGTCACCATGCTGCCCATTAAGTGGGGAGTAGATTGGAATGTGAATGTGAAACACTGTCATAATCTTACTGAATGGCAGAATAGACTCAAGGGGCCCAAATGGCCTATCTCTGCATCTTACTCATGCTCGTATACCCCTTTGCTGGTCCTGACAAAGAGCTGGTTATGGAGGACAGTTCCCCTCCAGACTTTTAATTTTTTCTTTTCCAAATATTCTCACATTTCAGTTTCTAAATCTGACCTTTCCAAAACAAATGGCAGATGTTACAAGTGATGCTTAGGTCAACTACGGCTCAATACACAGTGGACTTTCACCCGAGTCACACAGCTGTGGGGTTTTGTCCCAATCCACAGACTCGAGCACAAAGAGTCTTCGCTGACAATACCAGTTCCAGTAGCGAGGGGAACCTTCAATGATGGGATTCTTCAGCTCCGATGTTAAAGCGAGGGCCCCTAACATCCTGCCAGCTGGTTGTAAACATCCCAGATTATTATACTGAAGCTTGCTGTACACAGGATAGCTGTTGCATTTAGAACCGCAGAAAGGTGACAGCACAAGAGGAAGCCATTCAGATCACTGCGTCTGTATTTCCTTCGTCACAACCTACACTCGACAGTTCAAAGAGTACATCAATGGCTGTGGAAAAACTCAGACGACCAACGTTGCAAATGGAGGTACTAAAATGCAAGTCGGTCTTTCTGAAGGACAAAGGAAGGGTAAAACATGCCCAACTTAGCCAAAAGTCTAACGAAGTACTTAACAGGATGACAGCGAGAGCAATGACCACAAACCACAGATTTTCTTTATACAGCCCGTTCTAACTATCATATTTCTCAAGCACTGCAAAATGCTTCCCCATAGTGCTTTAAAATGTAGACAAATACTGGGCAAATGAAGCAACTAATTTGCACAAATTAAAATATCACAAAAAAGCAGAGAAATGAAACATTGCTTTGGCTGCTGCTGCTGCTCCAGGGATGAACATTGGTATGAGACTGAAGTGCCAACTTTTCACTTTCATTCAAACACCAGGAGAACATTACTGCTTTTCTTCAGATTGTGGAATATTAAATGCTAACTTGAGCAGGGTCAGAGCAGGTGTTGCTTAATTTAATATCTCAACTGGAGAGGAGGACCTCAGATGACGTGGACCTCCCTCAGCACTGCACAGAAACTTTGGTCTACACTATGTGGAGTGGGATTTGGCTCTACAACTATATAAATTAGGACAAGAATGCTGCCAGCAAGACCAGGCAGAATAAATGCACATTCTCCTTCACTCCGAATGTTCAGTTTGAATGGAAGCTGCAAGCTGGAGAATGGTGGCTTGCCATAATAAAACACTATGAAGTAGGTTTGTCCTGACCCCAAAGTGGAATGAATGAAAGTGGATTAATCAACCAGGCAAAAAAAGTGTGCATGAAATAGTTGGATGTACGGAGACATGGCTGCAAAGTGACCAAGGGTTGCCTTGAGGACAGACAAGAAGGAAAAGGTGGTGGCTGGCATTGCTGGCTAAAGAGAATATTAACACAACAGGGAGGAAGGGCATTAGGTCCAGTAAAGTGGATCTTAGAAATATCAAGCGACAGAAATTGAGCATGGTTGTTGGATATAGACCCCCAAAGTGGAGTGGAAAGGCACTAAACAAGAAAGTACAGATGCAAGTAATAAAGGTAAAGCTGTAATTTATGGGCAACATTAGTGAGCATATAGATTGGACAAATCAAATCAGTAACAATGCCATTGAGGAGGAATTCCTGGAGTGTTACACAGGATGGTTTTCAGGATGAATACATTAAGAACCAACTAAAGAACAGCCTTCCTAGACTGGAAATTGTATAATGAGAAGCAGGTAATTAGGAATATAGCTGTGCAAGATCCCTTGGGGAAGAATAACCATAATGAGAGAGAACTCAGCCTGGTGGAGAGGTAGAACTCAAGGGTCAAACCATCGGTTACTTTGCCCAAACCATCAGAAAGCAAAAGTTAGGATAACGAGCCAACCAGAAAACATCCCCAAGGAAAGGATAACCATAACTTGAAATAATGTTGAATGGGGTGGAAAGCTGAATTCAAGGATAACCACTGCCAACCCTTTCCAATGCAACAACAGATGGCAAACTAACTCAATTACCTGACAGTTTAATGTCTTGCAGTACAATGTGTAAGAGCTTGGTGCAATGTTATTGCTCAAAGATTAAAAATCAAGTGCCCCCTACATGGCATCGTACATTTCCCTTCCACCTTTGTCCACTTCACGTTCATCGACGCGATGCCAGGAAACTTACGGCAGCCCCAACAGCCGAAGGGTGAGAGTCACTGAGTCATGTAGACCAGCAAGAAGGCAAAGGCCTTCCCACAGTACACTGTCAGCCAACCCTGTTCTGGATGGCGCTAGCTTGATGTCCATGGGCTAGGAAGGTGGGAAGTGCAATAAGCCCAGAGCTCCTCGCCCCAACTCCTGGCTGTTATTCATCTGGACCATGGGCAAGACATGCAGCTCTGACAGATATGTACCCATATGCAGACTCTCACACAAACACAAAGAGGTGATGGTATTATCACTAGACTATTAATTCAGAGACCTAAGTATGTTACAAGAACCTGGGTTCAAACGGCAGATGGTCGAATTGGAGTTCAATTAAAAAAAACTGGAATTAAGAGTCTAAAGATGACCCTTGGCAGTTGTTAGAAAAATCCATCTGGCTCACTAATATCCTTTAGGGAAGGAAATCTGCCATCCTTTCCGGGTCTTGCCCACATGACTGCAGACCCCAGCAATGTGGTTGGCTGTTAACTACCCTCTCGGCAATTAGGGATAGACTTTATCATCCCATGAATGGACAAACAAAAAAAACATGCAAAAGCTGTGGGCTCAAACACTTCACCCTGTCTTTAACAATTATCCCATGATAATGACCAAACTAACATTGACACCCAGTCACAGCAAGATATTAGGACAGGCAAGGCAGGGCAACTGACTGAGGTGTCACTGGGGGAGCACCTTGGGGATAGTGATCATAATTCTGTTAGCTTTAGAGTAGTTCTGGACAAGGACAGACCTAATCTAAAAGTTGAAGTTCAACATTGGAGGAAGGCCAATTTTGACGATATTAGGCAAGAACTTTCAAAAGTTGATTGAGGGCAGCTATTCTCAAGGGATGGCTGGAAAGTGGGAGGCCTTCAAAAATGAGACAAGAATCCAGAGACAGTATGTTTCTGTTCGTGTGAAGGGCAAGGCTGGTAGGTGTAGGGAATGCTGGATGACTAGAGAAATTAGTCAAGAAAAAGCAGAAGGCAAATGTCAGGTCTGGACAGCTGGGATCAAGTGAATCCCTCGAGCAGTATCAAGACTAGCGTCCACATTTTTTAAAATGAGAGGAGAAAGATATAAAAAAGACACGAGGGGCAACTTTTCTACACAGAGAGTGGTTCATGTGTGGAATGAACTTCCAGAGGAAGTGGTGGATGCAGGTACAGTTATAATGTTTAAAAGACATTTGGATAAGTTTGTGAATAGGAAAAGTCAGGAGGGATATGAGCCAAACACAGACAGGAAGGACTAGGTTAGTTTGGGATTACAGTCGGCATGGACTGGTCGGACCAAAAGTTGTTTCC